ACACACACACACACACACACACACACTAAGGGCTTTTTAATCCACTCATCTATTGTTGAGCACTAAGGTGTTTCCATAGCTTGGCTGTTATAAATAGTGCTGGATTGAACAGAGGCACACATATCTTTGAATTAGTGCATTTTAGGAGTGGAATTGGTAGGTCAAGTGATAGGTCTATTTTTAATATTTTGGGAAATCTCCTTGCTGTTTTCCATAGGAGGTGGACTAGTCTACCATCCTACTAATATAGTGTGAAAGTTTCCTTTTCTCCACATCCTTGCCAACGTTTGTGGTTTCTGGTCTTTTTGATATGGACTATTCTCACTGGTGTAAGATGGTATCACATTGCGGTTTGAATTTGCATTTCCCTGATGAGAAGTGATGATGAGGATTTTTTTCATGCGCCCGTTGGCCTTTTATATGTCTTCTTTGGAGAAGTGCCTATTTAGTGCTTCCCTTTTTTTTTTAGATTTATTTATTTGTGCATACAGAACTGGGGTACAGGCCAGAGGCTCAGGGCAGTGAGAGGCTTCACCAGAGACAGAGTGGGGAGCAGAACAGTCAGATCGATGCAGCACACTGCTGAGGGGAGCAGTGGGTGGGTCAGGAGAGGTCTGCCACACCATGTGGTCACCTCTGGGGCAGGCAGGAATCAAACTCATGCGAACTCATGCGAACTCATGCGGAAGCGGCTTTAGATTCTCAGTGCTGTGCTTTAACCCGCTGCGCCACCAGGGAGGGCCCTAGTGCTTCCCATTTTTTGATTAGGTTGTTTTCTTTTTATTTAGTTGTAAGTTCTTTGTATGTCTTAGTTATCAGCATCTTGCTGGGTATATAATGTGCAAACATTACACCATTCGTAGGGTGTCTTTTCATTTTAATGATTATCTCCTTCACTGAGAAGTTTTTTAGTTTGATATAATTCCATTTTTTAATTTTTGCTTTTGTTTTCTTTGCTATTGTATTCAAGAAACCAACATCATGGAATGTTTTACCTGTGTCCTTTCTTCCCTGTATTTTAGGTCTTATATCCAGGTTTTTATTCTACTGGAATTAATTTTTGTATATGGTATGATTCGATGATCTGGTTTCATACTTTTGCTTATGGCTGACCAATTTTTCCAACACCATTTGTTAAGGAGACTTTCCTTTTTCCAAAGTATATTGTTGGCTCCTTTGCTGTATATTAATTGTAGGAAAAGTGTGAGTTTACTTCTGGGCTCTCACTTATACTGTATTAATCTTTGTGTCTGTTTTTAATTTCCAAACCATGCTGTTTTGCTTATCATAGCTTTGTAGTATAATTTGATCTGGGAGTGTGATATCTTCATTCTTGGTTTTTGTTGGTATCATTTGGCTATGGGGTTTTCTGTGGTTTCATATAAATTTGAGTAATGTTTGTTCTACTTCTTTAAGAAATTCCATTGAACATTGATGTGGGTATTGCAGGTATTGCATTGGGAAAAAATATATATATGTATATATATATATATTCAGTGTATATTGAATGTATATATTGCATTGCATATATATATATTGCTTTGGCTTTGGCTATGATGGTCACTTTAGCCATGTTGATTCTTGAAGTCCATAAGCAGGCAATATCTTTCCATTACTTCATGCCATCTACTTATTTTACTAATGTCTATTGTTTGCATTAATCAGACCCTTTACCTCTTTTGTTTCATTTATCTCACTAAAGGGTCATTTCCAGAGAGTATCTGGAATTGAAGCTTCCTATTGTGCTATCGGTACCATAGTGGCACAGTGACGATCCACAGTGAGCCCCTCCTCTAGGCCCACTTGGCAGCCTAGGTATCTCATATAGTTCTGTGCCAACCTCAACCTTACGGATATGTTTGAGCACTACATGCACACTGGGCACATAGTGTAACTGAGAGGGATTTGCATGCTGGGTATTGTTCCCTTTGCCTTTCCAGACCTTACCCTGCAGTGCTGTGCCTGTTGCTGAGGTCTAGTTTTTTAAATTCTGAATAGTGAAAATGTTCATTTGTCTTGGTTTTGACCTGAGGTGGTTGGTGAAGGGGGTAGAGGGGAGACCAGAGATAGTAATCAGGTGTTTAGAATATCACAGGCTTCAAGTATTAGCTTTTTCTATGAGGAGACACAAGATATGCCCACCTCTCCGGGCTGGTTTAGTCTCCAGCTGTTCTACATTGGGCGCTTCAGGCTCAAGCAGTTATCACCACTCTGTTCCATGATCATGCAGTTCTCTAAGAGTGCACACTCTGTCCTGGATGCCAGTTCTCTGTACTGCCTTATCCAGCATAGTGCAGAGTCTCCGTGGTCCACAATATACATATGTGCCCCTGTGTCAAC